AGGATTAATCATTAAAAAAGAAAAGGCGGGGGAAGAGGTGTGAGGGATGCGGGAAGAGACTGGACAAAAATCGTGCCCATATGGATGAGGACAGTGGGTGGGGAGTGAGGGCGGAGGGTAGGGTGGAAACTGGGAGGAGGGGAGTTATGGGGGGGGGGAGAGAGGAACAAATGTAATAATCTGAACAATAAAGATTTAATTAAAAAAAAAAAGAAAAGAGGACTCAAACAACATTGTACACTAACTAGCCCTGACATCTATAGACTGCTCCATCTAATCACAGCAAAGTGTATAATAACCCAAGTGCACATGGAATATTCTCCAGAATAGACCATATCTTAGGCCATAAAACAAGGCACAGTGCATTTAAAAGGACTGATATCTTACAAAGTATGTTCTCTAGCCACAGTAGAATGAAATCAGAAATCAACAACAGAAGGAAATTTGGGAAATCCACACATACGTCGGCATTTAACAACACACTCTTAAAAAAATTAAGTCAAAGAAGAAAGCACAGGGCAAGTTAGATAATACTTCAAGATAAATGAAAAATGAAACACCGCATATCAAACCCATGGGAGATGCAGAAAATTTTACAGCTATAGATTCCTATATATTTTTTAAAAAGGCAGACCTTAAAACAACAGCCTAGCCTTTCATCTTAAGAAACTAAAAAAAAAAAAAAAAAAAAAAAAAAAAAGACAAGGAAGCAGAAGGAAGGATATAATACTGATTATGTAACAGGACAACCAAGGGGTCTGGGCTGCCTGTCACTACTTGAGCCACTTCAGAAGAGAAACAGGGTTGAATCATATATGAGTGTTTATTCCAATAATGCCAGCAGGATGGGAGAGCAGCAGGACATCCACAAAAATCTGTTCTACCCTCCTCATGAACCAGCTGCTTATATTGGGTAGAGGGGCAAGGATTACATTGGAAAGTAAGAATTACAGGCATGGGAAAGTAGGCAAGTTATGATGGTTACAGGCAATAGGGCTGGGGGTAGCAAAGAACAGGTGCCTCCGGGCACCTCTGGGACCAGATTACAGGCAATAGGGGCTGGGGTGTGTGTATGTGTGTGTGTGTGGGGGGGGTGGATTGCAAAGGGTAGGTGCCTCTAGGACTAGACTGTTTCAGCCACGAGGTTGTAAAATTTTCCATAATGATAGACAGCTCCCAGAAAGGGAGGATGGATTACATTCCAACGTTAGCTCCCATGTCCCAGGGCATGCAACTCTCAGCCAGCTTAGAATGTGCTTTTTCTAATCAGAACAGAACAATCATGGTTAACAGAGCATGATTAATATTTCTTATAATTATAGCTAGTCCTCAATATTCTATTTCTTCCCCTAATAATTAGAACAGGAATATGTGAAATAAAGAATAGAAAGCAACAGAGAAAAATCAATGAAACCAAAAGTTAATCTTTGAAAAGATTAACAAAATCAACAAACCTTTGGCTAGACCAGTGGTCGGCAAACTGCGGCTCTCGAACCACATGCGGCTCTTTGGCCCCTTGAGTGTGGCTCTTCCACAAAATACCACGTGCGAGCGCGCACATACAATGCGATTGAAATTTCGTGGCCCATGCACAGAAGTCGGTATTTTGTGGAAGAGCCACACTCAAGGGGCCAAAGAGCCGCATGTGGCTCATGAGCCGCAGTTTGCCGACCACTGGTAGACTAATCAAGGCAGGGAGAGGGAAGAGAAGCCTCAAGTTTCTAAAATCAGGAGTAAAAGAGGGAACATTACTACCAAAAAGATTGAAATAAAAATGACTATACAAATTAGATAACCTAGAAGAGGCACGCTCTCCCTCGGAGAAGCACACCCATGCCTTTCTTTTCTTCCTCTTCTCCTCCCCAAGCATGTTACCTTTGCCTTTCTCTCTCCAAAGCTCAAGGGCCCTACTTTTGCTTCTGTAACTTGTTTCCTGCACCTATGCAGCCCAGCTGGCTCACTTCTACAACCTCTGTAACTATCTAAATAAACTCCCTCTTATAATTTGAAAGCAAACAAACAAACTAACTAGATGACCTAGATCAAATTCCAAGAAAGACACAAACTACCAAAACTGACACAACAAGAAATCTGAATACACCTATAACAAGTAAAGAGATTAAAATTAATAATAAAACAATTTCTGAAAACAGAACTTGGCTGGAGATCCTGGACAGAACCTGGTGAGAGAACCTTGCTATGCTGATCAACTGAACCTGTCTCCGTGTCATTCCTTCTTCGCCGACTCCGTCCACACCTTTGGGGACCCCTGGACCTGCTGGGGTTGGACCCCAACAGATGGTGCCCAAACAGGGACCCTTAGGACACAGACTCACCTGTGTGGATTCCAGACCGTCTAGTCTGACCTTATGTCTCACCGCTCTCCGTCTCCGCCTCACCCAAGCACACCTGAACAATGCCCATCTGCAGCAGATGTGCAGCCCTGAGCTGGAACAACCTGTCCATTGGGAGGATCACATGTGCCTCCTTTTTGTCTGTCCATATGTCCCAGCTTTGCCCCACATCTCCTTTCTTTTTTTTTTAAAATCTGACTACTTGTTTGCTGGCTCTTTGGCCTTTCTTCTTCTCTCCTGAACACAGCCTTTTCCAGAATCTCCCTACCCTACTGTTCCAGGAAGGGCACCTCCCTTTTCTGCCGTGACTGGGGGTGTCTGGTATGTGCCCCATACGTGGAGTTGTCTTGTGCCAAGAGCTTGATATCCTGGGCTGAGAAAGCCCTGTCCTGGGACTCTCCTTTGTCCAGTATTGGCCCCTCTTGTCCTTGTGTCCCTTGTGTCCCCTTCTCACAGTCCATTTGCCCACAGCTGTTGCCTGGGCTTTCTGTTCACGCTGAAGTTGAGGCCTCGTGGTGGCCGGTACCATGGATCTGTCTCTCGCCCAATGGTGTGAGCTGGGCCCTCCCTGGAGAAGAAACCTGGGTTCCCCAAGAGATGTGACCAGAGCTGGGGCCCCGCTAGCAGGCAAGGGGAGCCCAAGGCAGGTGCTGGGTGTGGAGGCCACAGGGGCATAGGCTACCAAGGAGACAGAACTGAACCTCTTGCAGGGGGGCGCTGCCCCTCCCTCATTCACACACCTCACATCATCCTGCTTGGCCCCAGAGGATGGCTGGTTAGCCAGAGATGGATAAGATTCCTCAGGGAAGGAACAACCTACGACAGGCACAGTCGCAGAGGGGCCATCAGAAGACAACTTGGGGGTCAACAGAGGTGGGGCACAGACCTACACCCCCCCAACTTTGCAGTGGCCTGAAACCCTCACCCCTTCTGAGGGAGGTCTCCTGCCCCCATGGCTGCTTCACTTCCCACACCCAGCTCAGATCGGGACCCAGGTAAAGACAGAGACTGGCTGACAGCAGCTGCCCTCTCACTGCAACAGGACTTGTTTCCCATTTCTACTTTGGACCACAGGGAAAGGGGCAGCTGAAGGAAAGGGCTATGTCAGGATGCTGCCTTCTTCCCTTTCTTCTCCCTCTTTTTTCTAAACACTTCCATGCCTTGTAGTTCTTTTGCTTTCTCTTCTTTTTCTCTCCACTACCCTCCATCTCCGCCTCATCCTCCTCCCCGGTATTATCCATATCGGCCGACCCAGAGGGCACAGCAGACTCCTCCCCAGACACCGACACCACCATCAAGCATGGCCCTGATGGGCCCTTTGATGCAGCCCTTCAACTCGCTGACGCTTTGGGAAGCCCATTGCCAATGACACCGCCCGCTAGCCAGATCAACAAGGACAACCATGCCCTAGCCGGTTTGGCTCAGTGGGTAGAGCGTCAACTTGCGGACCGAAGGGTCCCAGGTTTGATTCCGGTCAAGGGCACATGCCCAGGTTGCGGGCTGGATCCCCAGTGGGGAGCATGCAGGAGGCAGCCAATCAATGATTCTCTCTATTCATGGATGTTGCTATCTCTCTCTCCCTCTTCCATCCTCTCTGAAATTAATTAAAAATATTAAAAAAAAAAAAAAAGGACAACCAAACCCCCGACTTGAGGACAGCTGAAATCCCTTGACTGAAGAGGCCAGCAACCTTCTACAGGAACAAGGCTCCATCCATTCTGTTTATAGCTATGCTCACTATCATTGCTTGTCAGTCTTCTTCCAAGTCTTTTTTTTTTTTTTAATATATTTTATTGAGTTTTTACAGAGAGGAAAGGAGAGAGATAGAGAGTTAGAAACATCGATGAGAGAGAAACATCGACCAGCTGCCTCCTGCACACTCCCTACTGGGGATGTGCCCGCAACCAAGGTACATGCCCTTGACCGGAATCGAACCTGGGACCTTTCAGTCCGAAGGCCGACGCTCTATCCTCTGAGCCAAACCGGCTTCGGCATTCTTCCGAGTCTTAAACAACCCAATCCGAGAGGTGGCTGCTGATTTACATGTGCTATCATTTAAAAAAAATAAAAAAGGGGGAATTTGCCTGAAGCCGGTCCATCCTTGCTGCTTGACACAGTCGCTGCAGGGAAGAAACATCTGCACAGCATATGTTTCAAGGGACCTGGCGTATATGGCATACTGTTCTTAATATGTTTGCTCACCTTCTTGGCGCTATGTGTTTTAACGAAGGTCACCTCTCCGAGAAAGGTTGTTTCCCCAGGTAGGGATTTTCCCCTTAAGTTAGGGAGGGAATAAAACCCCTTAACTAAATGCCAAGTGGGTAGTTAATCACTTTAACTATGAACAATCACCCTTAAGCCACATAATCTTTACTCCCTGGAATGCAGATAAGAAACGCCCTAACCTTTGGAATAGAAATTGACAGGATTAAAATCAACTGGTATAAATACAGATGTAACAAGACAATAAAAAACAGAACTTGGCTGGAGATCCTGGACAGAACCTGGTGAGAGAATCTCGCTATGGTGATCAACTGAACCCTGTCTCCGTGTCATTCCTTCTTCGCCAACTCCGTCCACATCTTTGGGGACCCCTGGACCTGCTGGGGTTGGCCCCCAACAGCCTGCACGGACGGAGGCCCCGCCATGGCCCAGAAGAGAGTCCTGCCGCAGAGCAAGGAGACGCTGCTGCAGTCCTACCACAAGCGGCTCAAGGACGACATCAAGTCAATGATGGACAACTTCACCAAGATCATCAAGACCGCCAAGATTGAGGATGAGACCCAGGTGTCCAGGGCCACCCAAGGCAAGCAGGACAATTACGAGATGCACGTGCGAGCCTCCAACATCGTCCGAGCCGGTGAGTCCCTGATGAAGCTGGTCTCTGACCTCAAGCAGTTCCTGATCCTGAACGACTTCCCGTTGGTGAAGGCCATCGACCAGCACAACCAGCAGCTCAGGGCGCTGCAGGAGGAGTGCGACCGCAAGCTCACCGCCCTGCGCGACCAGGTCTCCATCGACCTCTACCAGCTGGAGGAGGCGTACTACTCGTCCAGCTCCAGTCTCCGCGAAGCTAACAATCTGTCTCTGTGCGAAGCATACTGGAGGCTGGACCTCGACACAGATGCTGCCGATGGCCTCGCTGCCCCCCTGCGGGCCTCCCTAGAGCCCAGCGCTGGCCCCCTGCAGTCCGCCGCCCCTGCCCACTCCCATGCTAGCGGGCCTGGCCCCACAGAGCATGCCTGAGCCTCTCGGCTCTCTCCACCAGCCCCCGGGATCTTAGCAACAAAATCTAGCGCCCCGCTTGGCCTTGACTGCTGCTGGGGAGCAGCTGTGGCCTCCTTGGGAACCCTGTCGGCCAGGAACAGCCCCCCCAGGAGTGTGGAGGGAGAGTAGATCCCCCCATTTCCAGAGTGGCCCACTCTTCCTCCAGGCACCTCTGTTCACTACCTTCCGGGCTGCTGCTGGGACCTGAGCCTGCTGCTTAACGTGGGGAAGGGCGCTGGGTGACAGTCCTGGCCAGGTCCACACCAGGCCCCTGTGCAGCCACCCTGCCGCCTCGCCCAGGGGCCCCTGCAGAACTGGGGCTGGGGGTGTGGTTCACACAGGAGCTGGCGCGGGCTCCTTCCTGCTTCTGTGGTACACATCCTAGTTGTTCATTTGTGTGCGAGATGGTTGAATAAAGACAATTTATTATTGGTAACCATTTTATTTTTTACGTTTCAGATACACAAATAATTTTTAAAGGATAAATATGTCTCATAAAATATTTAGGACTTTACTGAAATTATTTTATTTTAATTTGAAATTCAAATATAAGTGGACATCCTTCATTTTATATGACCATCCTGTGCATGGGATGGTGACTGTGGGAAACTGTTTATTGCCTTCACTATCTGATAAACATAGACAGAGAACCCCCCGAAGGCTGGGTGCCTTTGAAGCCCTAGCAAAGGTTGGAGCTAGGCGCCACCTCTGTTTGTCCAGACAGTGGTAGCTGAAACTACTCCCCCATTTATTATTATGTAAATCCTTGCTGATGGGCTAGTCTGCCTGTTGCCAAGGGTCACCTGCCTAAGTGCTATGCTATGGGTGCATCCCAGAATCAATAAAAGCTTGGTGAGGCCTGAGCACAGATGGAAATCCTTCCCCTTGAGTTGGACTTGACCGCCTGGTCCCCCAATATTTCCAAATTATCTCTTGTCTTCTCTTCCATTTGTGTGCAGCTCTGCTTCCAGTTCCTGAACCCTGACCCACACGGGACGTGGGAAGGAAACACCCAACAGGTGACTCCAGCTGTTTTATTTTGTTTTTAAAGGAATGTACAATTTCAAATGTCCAGAGGGATTGGGACCATCCAAAGAGTATAACTGGGTTATACATAGATTCATCTATTTATTTTTTAGTGTTAATTAATTGGTACACTAGACTATTCTACAAGTTTTGTCCTGATTCTAAAAGGCAATCACTGTGAGCCAAACACAGAGACATTGAGTTATTTATTTTTCAGTCTTTATTATGGGTAAGAGCTAAGTGATGATTTCATTATATGATTTCTGTTGTCTTATTAGATGACACTCTAATCCCAGCTCTTAAAAAGCAGCTTGGGGGGAGAAACCAAGATGGCGGCATAAGTAAACACCAGAGTTTGCTGCCTCGCACAACTTCAAAAATACAACTAAAAGATGGAACAGACATCATCCAGAACCACAGGAAGGCTGGCTGAGTGGAAATTCTACAACTAGAAGGAAAGAGAAAAGCTTACCGAGACTCAGAGGAGGAGCGGTGCGGAAGTAAAATACTAAGGTACAGAGGCGCACAAGGAGTGGGCTGGTGGCTGAGAGTGCGGTTGTCTTTTGCAATCAGGAGGGAGTCTCAGGCTCTGAGCTCCAGTTCCGGGCAAGTCTTTGGGGACCCGGACTCATACGGGAGAAGCGGGACTGTCTGGCACGGAACTCGAGGACAGCTTTCTCTTGGAGCTGCTTGTAGTGATTATCGGGACATTGAGAAGCGTAGCCTCTGAGGGCAGGACTGAGAGCAGCCATAACTGCTAGCCCTGCCCTGTTGATCCAGTGATACCCACCCCACCCAAGCCCTGCACGGAGGCTTTTGCTGGGTAGCCTCAGGCAAAGGCTAGATTAGCACCTCCCTAGAGAACCAGGAGCAAGTGTGCCCAGTGGTCAGAGTGGGACCATCCAGTTTGCACCTCATTGGACCCTTAAAGGACACACTCAGGGGGCAGACTCAGTGAGCACCAAAGCCCCATTGAAGCAAGTCTTGCCCCAGAGGGGTGTCTCCAGCACAGAAGTTCTCCCACTGCAGACACAGCTGATTCTCACAGCCAATTGGCCTGGAGGTCAATTCCTCCCAGTGATAGCTACAACAATCAAGGCTTAACTACAACAAGACTGTGCACAAAGACCACAAGGGGGTGCACCAAGAGTGTCCTCCTCAGGTAATTGGGGAGGCTGAACCACTGGGCCCTAGAGGACACTTAGCACAGAAAACCACTTTATCAACACAGGGAAGCATTAAAAAATGCGGAGACAAAGAAACAGGACACAAATGACAGAAATGGAGGAAAGCAAACTACTGGATATAGAGTTCAAAACCACACTATTAAGGTTTTTCAAGAACTTTCTAGAAGCCGCCGATAAATTTAGTAAGACCCTCGAAAAAGCAGCTTAGGGGAAACCTTGGTGACCCTAGAAGATAGTAAATTATATTGGAATGAATAATAGACTGGAAATCAAGAGCTCTGTGTGTAACTTGGCTCTCCCACTGATGTTTGACTAATATTTATATAGTAAATTACCTGCTTGATGTATTTTTGGAAGTCCTACAGGCATCCAAACTTCATAAAATATAAATGTCCACCATTTATGCTTTTGCTCTTGAATATGCTTCTTTTTTCCCCTATGTACCACCCTCTACCTAATCATTCAAATAAAAATATTAAATCCTATCGACATACTGGTGGGTAGAGGAGGCCGGGGGATTGTTAACGGCGGGAAAAAAAGGAGACATATGTAATACTCTTTGTAATACTTTAAGCAATAAAACAATTTTAAAAAATAAAATAAAAGCCTAATATGCAGAAAAAATAATTTTTTTTTATTGTTGATAGTATTACAGAAATTTCTCCCACCCTGCCCCCTTATCCTCCTCTTCCTAGCCCCTACCCACCCTATCCCCTAGTCTTCCGTGGACTATGTCTATCTATATATATAAAAGCCCAAGCGACTGTTATGACCGAACCACCAGAATGACCAGTTGACCAGTTGCTATGACGTGCGCTGGCCACCAGGGCGCAGATGCTCAATGCAGGAGCTGCCCCCTGGTGGTCAGTGTGCTCCCATAGACAATGTCCTGTGGCCAGCCAACCTCCTGTGGGCCCTCCCCCTGGCCGGATGGCCAACCTCCCGCAGCTTCTCCCCCCAGCTGGCCAACCTCCCGGGCCCCCTCCCCTCAGCCGTTTGGTCAACCTCCCGCAGCACCTCCCCCAGGCTCACCAACCTCCCATGGCCTCCCTCGGCCGGCCAGCCAACCTCCCCCCACCTCCAGCTCTTGTAGCTAGACATCTGTAAATAAGCATTTGAAGTCCTGCCAAGAAGAAGTGAATGCTCTATCAGGAGCATTCAAATATAAGTGGACATCCACTTATAGATTGCACACAATCTTGAGTTCCAGGAACATTTACCTCCCTGAGAAAGGCTAAGATTAAATAGTCGTGGGTGTAGAGCAGAAAGGGAGGGCACAGCTGCAAGTTGTCTTCAATGCGCTATTGTAATAATATAGAACAAAACAAGATTTAGTTGATTAACTGCTGATGCACTAACCTTGTACCAAACCCCAATAAAAGCGATGGTGAGAGTGCAGAGTTTGCTACATGCCTGAGCGAGCTGTAGCCCTCTGTCCGGCATAAAAAAAAAAAAAGTCCTATCGACAAAAAAAAAAAAACAACAAAATTTCTCCCAAAGACCTGATGACTACACTATAAATTTAAATTTGAATTAATACTAATACTTCACGATTGTTCCAAAAAGTAGAATGTGAGGTAACACTTCCCAACTCATTCTATGAGGCCAGTATTAACCTGCAACTAAAACTACACAAAGACCTCTAAAGGAAAAAAGAAAACAACAGAGTAATACTCCTTACACACATTCCTTAAGAAAATACTAGGATACCAGCAGCATGTAAAAAGGATTATATACCATGACCAAGTAAGAGTTATCTCAAGAAGGCAAGATGTGTTATCAACATTATGCTTACAGGCAGGGGAGATACCATGATCACAAAGGTTGTTTTTCCGGGGCCAGGCTTATGCACTGCACCCTGGATATGCTGACCCCTATGATTTCCTTAAACGTGGGAAACTCGACTGCATAATTTGTGGTAGTGGGGGACTGTGTTCATGCTCTCCTCTAGGGGGAAAAAGAGTTAAAATTATAAAACTCTTATAAGAAAACATAAGTGGATGCCCCTAGCCGGTTTGGCTCAGTGGATAGAGAGTTGGCCTGCGGATGAAATGGTCCCAGGTTCGATTCCGGCCAAGGGCACATGCCTGGGTTGCGGGCGTGATCTCTTCCCAGTAGGGGGCGTGCAGGAGGCAGCCAATCAATGATTCTCTCATCATTGATGTTTCTCTCTCCCTTCCTCTCTGAAATCAATAAAAACATATTTTAAAAAAAGAAAACAGCCCTAACCGGTTTGGCTCAGTGGATAGAGCGTCGGCCTGTGGACTCAGGGGTCCCAGGTTCGATTCTGGTCAAGGGCATGTACCTTGGTTGCAGGCACATACCCAGTGGGGAGTGTGCAGGAGGCAGCTGATCGATGTTTCTCTCTCATTGATGTTTCTAACTCTCTATCCCTCTCCCTTCCTCTCTGTAAAGAACCAATAAAATATATTTTTTAAAAAAAGAAAAGAAAACGTAAGTGAAAATCTTTGTGACCTTACATTAGGTCTCTTAGATATGGTCCCTTAGATATGACACAAAAGCACAAGTAATAAAAAAGGATAAAGTGGGCTGCATTACAAATGAAAACTCTTATGCACCAAAATATACCATCAAGAAAGTTAAAAGATAACAGTTAGAATGGGAGAAAATATTTACAAATTATAAATCTGATAGGAGTCTAGTATCCAGAATATATAAAGAACTTTCACAACTCAACAATAAAAAGAAAAACAACCAAATGAAAAACATAGGATTAAATAGGCATTTCTCCAAAGAAGACATATA